TATATATATATATCTGTGTGTTTGTGTGTTAGGACAGAGCATTAAGGCAGAGGGGGAAGTGTGTGTGTGTGTGTGTGTGTGCGCACACACACACACACCTATTGTAGCACAGATGCTACTCTCACTATAGCCCTGAAGCAGCAGTGTGAGATAGACTCAGAGTGAGAATGAAACTAAAATGCACACGAACTACACTCCAAAATCAGTTCTTGGACATGTTTACACCAATTGGTGTTTTACTGTGCATTAAATGTAATTTTTGTTTGTCTGTGCACTGCAACATTTATGTTTATACAGTTATATTGCTGCCCAGATTACGCTCACATTTTTTTCTAGTCCAAGAAGTAGCATATTCTTGTCCTGTACATCTGCAAACAAATCACACGTCTTTAATACCAGAGACTGAAGGACTGGGTGTTTTGTCCTGCATTTTGGATTAAGTCAGGGGAACAAACAAAACATTTAACATAGTGCAGACCTTCCCTTATTTTAACCAGGTAATATGACTTGCTCTTAACCAGTTACATAGCTTGACAGCGAATGTTTTGCAGATGCATTCAACTGAAATGTGTCCTCATGTCAATATTTGCAATGTTTATGTACTGTAGATGCATTTCTTTTTCCCTGCAAAAAATATTTGCCAGTGCAATGTTATTTTTTGGACTAATGTTATGTAGTTTGGAAAAAGCCACTGAAAATGGGTGATCGTTCCTGGAATAATACACAGGGCCTGGTCTTGAATTCAGTGCCAGTTTTATTAATTCATCATGTTCAAAATACCAGTTAACCCGAACAAACAGAAAACACTATTACACTCCAACTTAACTCTTTTCAAACAACTCGGCTCGTGCTCTCTTACTGGAGTTTTTCCAGCTGATGAAACTTCGGGGCTTTGTCTTGTAGCTCAAAGCATTGTGACAGAATAAACTGGATCACTGGAGGAGATGGATGACCTTGAAAGGTTGTTCAGACAGATTTGAGGTTGAATCAGAGGGTGGATGAAAGGATAAATGATAAAAAAAAGGATGAGAAGATAGCCACAGTTAAGGAAGGAAGGGTTTATAACCTCTCATTAAAGTCTGATGGATGGATGTAAGGAGGAGATGGGGTGGTGGTGATGAAAACAAGAGAATCTTAGGGGTTTCTTTGCCCTCATATATTCTGTAGGTTTGGAAAGAAAGAGCTGATTGACTCAAAAATCTCTTTGTTTTGCCACTCTCATCTCAACAGCTTCGACCTGATGGAGTGGTAAATAATCCTCAGAATTTTGCATAATTTGTCTCTTGTTACAGTACGTTGAGTGATTTTTAAGAAGCCTCTGTGTCTCAGCTGTCTGTATCTTTCTTCCTGGTTTGTCCACCCCTTCTCTTTCTATTTCTCGTTCTTCCTCCTCCTCTAACGCTGTTCTTGTTTCCTTTTCTTTGCAGAATAACTTTCTGCTACCTGCCCTTCCAGAGTAAATGGTTGTACATCGGCACAGAACGAGGGAACATCCACATTGTCAACGTGGAGTCCTTTATGCTCTCAGGCTACGTCATCATGTGGAACAAAGCCATTGAACTGTGAGTGTTACTGCCCACATGTCACTCTCTGATGCCGACTCCCACATTTTGTCCTGAAAGCTCTTTGTGTTTGCGCCCTCCTTCTTCCTCAAGTGATGCACAAGTTAGTATGCTGCTTTTGTTCCATATGAATGGGGTTCTCATCCAAAATCAATCACTGATACATAGATCAATATTTTAACTCTGTAGGAATCAAACTTATATCATCAGCACTGCAACACTGACCTCAGTCTTTTGAGTCACCTTGCAGCACTTAAGTGAGGTTAGGGATGCTGTGTAATTAGCATTTTACCTTATAAAAGGTCGTTGTAGTTTAGATGTAACAAGATTGGGAAAAAATCATGAGTCAGTCTATCATTTCCATGCAGAGTATGGAACTCTGGGTAGTGAGTGACCTGTCTCTTTGCAGTTTCAATGGATCTCTCAGCTAGACAGGCTCCATTTTGGCTCTTTGCTGTAGAGCCTTAAATTATTTAGTGGAGCATTTTGCTTCACACATTCCCCTCATCCCCTTCTGTGCACAGGGAGAGAGGAAAAAGAAGAGGAGGGAGGGAGGGAGGGGGTGGAACAGGTGTCTGCCGAGATCAATGTATGGTACACACAGACGTCTCATCTCTCCGACAGGGCTGCAGCGAAGAAAAGGTGAGAGTGAGTGGTGGGAGAGTGAGGGGGGAGGATGAGGGAAAGTGTATGACAGAGAGGACGCAGGAGTGGAATGGATGAGACAAGGCTTTTGCCAAGGGAAAAGGACAGGCAGAGATGGAAGTGATGGAGCAGAGGAATGGAGTAGTGACAGAAGAATAAATGCAGGTAACAGAGGGCAGAGCAAAGGATGGTCAAGGAGGAACAGGGAGATGTGCAGATAAGTGAGGATTGAGAGGTGGCCGGGAGAGGTTTCCAATTAAAGCAGAAAGAGCAGAGGGGGGAAGTAAGGGGTGATAATGATGAGATAGAGAGTAGACATGGATGATAAGACAGATTCTAGGGTTCTTCACTAAAGGGCAAGCAAAAACTTCCACTTTTCTTTGCTTAACTCCTTTTTTTCTCCTTTACCTTTACATTACTTTTCACTCCTCTTCACCTCCACTTAGATGCATCTGTCAGTTTTTTTCTGAGTATATCCTGTGGCAAAGATGTTCACGAGTCACAAAATGCAATTCTGAGTCAAGTCTTAGATCTGTGTTTCCAATGTGACCGAGGTGGAAAATAACTAACCATTCATTTATTCAAGTACTGTATTTAAGTGCAGTTTTGAGGTATCTGTACTTTACTTGAATATTTTTATTTTCTGCTACTTCATGCTTCACATTGTTCAGCTGTATCTATTAAACTGCAGACAGTCTGATTGGAAGTGTATAACCGGTAACATTATCAGCACTGCATCATTTATCATGCACTCTAACAGGAGTCAATCAATGAGCTAAAAACACAGTGAACAAGGTGTCTGTGAATAAGTGCCTTGCTCATGTGGATGGGAGGGGCCGGGGGTTAAACACCCAGACCTGCAATTTGTGAACAGCTTGTTCTACCTGCTGAAATAAAGTGTGATGTGAAAACATCCCTTTATGAAAATATTTGTTTAAAATCTGACTTAAATGCACATTTTTAAATCTCCTACAGAAACAATAAAATCCATTTTGCTTGAATCTTGAGTAAAATCATTGTTTTGATCCTGCAAAAGTGCAATTATGGAATCAAGCGAATTATTCATTACAGAAGCTCATTCTTTTCCAAAGCATGGGAGTTTGTGGCACCCCTTGCAGCTTTGTTAAACCACCACACCTTCTTTGCCATATTGTTTTTCCATCACAACTGTACTGTAGCTCTGCACAATAAGTTTGAGGAAATGAGGTTTCCATATCATTTGGTTGAGGCTTCAATCACTTCAGCTGCCATTTTGTGGGCTGTTAAGTTATGGAGATGGCAGCAGTGCCAGGAATCAATCCTCAGGTTTGCTACAGATGCTCTCAGTGTACATATCTGTTTGAGTGTATGAGTCTTGGTGGTTTGCTTTGATGCAACTCAGAGGAATGAGGTTATTTCTCTTTCTCGTTCTCTCTCTCTCTCTCTCGCTCCTTGTGTCTCTCTACCCACTGTGGAGTCTGGAGAGTTGCCACCCAGATACAGCTTTTGTACCTCTCCCATTGTTCTCATCTGATGCTATCATTAGGTGAAAGCAGTACTTTATCTAAATTAACTGTAATTAGAGCTGTAATGATTAGTTCAGTGACAGAAAATTACTAACAAAAAAGTTGACAATTGATTAAGTCATTTATTAACCAAAAATGTCAAATGTTTGCTTGTTACAGTATCTCAAATGTGATAATTTGATGATATGTTTTCTATAAATGGATTATCTTTAGAATTGGAGCTGTTATTTGGACAACACAAGCAAATTGAAGACGCCACCTTGGACTATAGGAAACTGTGATGTGAATTTTTCATAATTTTCTGACACAGCTATTGGACTTGCAGACCTAAACTTCAGAGGTCATTATCATTAGTGGGACACTCCTGTGGTTCACTAACACTGCTGTTTGATTGTGACTGCTGTAGTGAAGCTGGGATGTGGTGAGTACTGGGTTTATCTTCCCTTGGGCCCTGCTATTTGGAGACAAGCTGCAGTAGCTGAGCCAGTGGCTCCAAACCTGGCTTGGTTCGGTATTCGGGGTGTCGGTATGACTCACCTCTGTTTGCAAGCTGCTGACCTGAAAAGACAAACACATATCCTACAGTACATAACCAACTGCATAGTAATATGCTGTAGTTCAGTCAGTGCCATAGGCAGTAGGGACATTGAAAGGCCACATGAAGTCGGTGTTTGTGCCCATGATGCATAATTATGTGCAGCTGTATTGTATATGCAAGAATGTTTATGCTGTTTGTGTCCGATTTCATTCAACTAGATGGTTACTGGCTAGAGAGAGCCAGAATGACCTGGAACAAGAGTGGGTACACTGTTTGTGCACTCTTTCATTTAGTTCAATGAAAAATCAAGCCTACAGTATAAAGGTACTGTTTATATAAGTAAATCACTAAGCAAACACTAGTTTTAGTAAATATTTCCTAATTGTTTTAGTGAATCAGTGAATAAGCATATGTCTCAAATGTCTTTTAGTAAGATTTTTAACCAGGAAGTCACAGTGACTGCGCCTCTCCTACCTCAGAGAGCGTCACCCATGGTGACACATGCTGTTCAGGGCTTCACTGGGTGTGTGTCAATGTATATCCATCCATCCATCCATCCATTATCTATGCTACTTATCCTGGAGAGGGTCACAGGGGGCTTAAGCCAATCCCAGCTGACATTGGGCATGAGGTGGGGTACACCCTGGACAGTTCGACAGTCTGTCATAGCGCTGACACTTAAAGACAGATAACCTCACGCACCCGCAAGTTAGAATCACCAATCAGAAAACTGAAGTACCCGGCACAGGGAGAACATGCAAACTCCACTGCCTACAGTGCTGCCGGTCAGTGTACATGTATAACATTGAATAACAATGTCGAAATGATACCTGTTCTTTTATTCATATATGCATAATAATCTGAACTCGTACATTTTTGTGGTGATATATGTGTGTATCAGTGTAATAGGACACATGGTTGTGCCTGCACTGACAAGATGTTTTCAAATTCAATGAGGTGTTACCCTTCCTATTGCTTCGACATTTCCAATGTGTCATCCGCACACCCAGAAACAATTGCTTTATGGTGTGTGTCTGTGTCTTTGTGTTTGTGCACTTACAACACATACATATAGCATTGGTTGTTTTTCTTTAATGTAGTAAGGGTGAGGGTAAAATTTGATAAACATTTGGTACAATAAAGGTTTATAAGAGATGACTGTTTTGACTGAAGGCGCTGATGGGTGAAGCTTTTCAAGATTTTATGATTTACCAATTGGTTGTTATATTTGCCACGGGGCATTTAGTTTAACTGCAGCAGGCATATGTGTGTGTGTGTGTGTGTGTGTGTGTGTGTGTGTGACAGAAAAGACCTTGAATCAGTAGGTCAAAGACAAGAATGAGACTGCAAATACAGTGAGAACAACAAGCATGCATTTAAACAAATACAGTAGTATGCATGCACAGTCAAATATCTTGCCGGATAATCTTGCAAACAATATCAGAAACACACAAACACATACTGTATAGACACCAAATACCCAAACGTCCCTGTCCCTGGAGCCCTTTTTTACTCCGTATGCAAAATGCAGAGTCATTAGCAGTACACAAGCAGAAATGTGTGGTTTTGGGAGCGCGTGGAAGTAGTTAAACAGGCGTTGTTTGTGTTCGTGCATTTGTGTGGGTGGGTTTGTGCATTTGTGGCAGAGTATGGATGATTTTTGGAAGCTTGTCTACACTCTGCTCATCCTGCCTCTGTTGCCATGGTGATTCCTGTATCTCCGAACCTGTCTGTGTTCTTATGGACTTTGTGAATATGTTCATATGAGATTCATTTAAAGTAAAACAACAGGTTTTTGGCAAAACAGGGTTTTTTTTTCCTCCAAAATCTCACAGGGGAGCACAGAGAACACTGCACATAAAATCCTGAAACAAGAGAAAATAAACCACACAGGACAACAGAGCAAAGCTTTGATGTGTCCAAATTGCATTTTGTAATTCAGCAAGGGGGTAATTGTTGGCTATGTGTGTATGGTTTACAAATGGGCTAGGTGTTAAGATGTGTTTTAATTGTGCTGTCATGCCAGTGTGTGTGTGTGTGTGTGTGTGTGTGTGTGTGTGTGTGTGTGTGTGTGTACGTGTGCGTGCTGCTGTGGATGGCAGTTAGCTGAGACACTGGCAGTGAAGGGGGATTAGATAAATCAACAGAGCTAGGTAATAAGGCTCTCGCGCTAACGGGCTAAATATAGAGACAAGTGACTGACTGCCTGCCTGCCCACTAACTGCTACTTTCTAACACACACACACACACACACACACACACACACTAGTGTAGATGCTTCCCTTTTTTGCCCTTTGCCTATACTGATTCCTTGCTATATGATCTCCATCCAAAATGTTTTTTCAAATTGAACTATAAACATCTTTTTATAGTTTCATATTATTATCAGCATATCCTGTCCCTCACTGTCAGACTCTAGGAAGAAAAACACTGCACTACTAAGACATGGACCAAAACAAGGACTTTGCCTTGTCTCTTTTGCAATTTACATTCCACTGCAGCTCCTTCCTCCTCCTCTCCTTGTCAGGCATCCCTTGCTCCATGGTACTTGGGTTTATACTTCAGGCTTGAACAGTCATTTTTTCTCAGCTGTGACCTTCCTTGGCAGCCCACATTGTATCTTTAAGGCAGAGCAGTTTAGGTAAACTTTGGTGCCATGTCTCACAGAGAGAGGAGATTTGACATAAGGCTGCCTGGAGTGTAAAGTACAATCAGGAGAGGGAGAGGGAGGGTCAGCCAAGCATTTTGTGCTGCCTTCTTTGTTGACATGCAAATGGACACACACTGACACATGCACATATATACACATAACCACTGGGGACTGGCCGACCTGACAGAGCCATCCATCACAACCTTTAGTGAGCTTATGTCTTTGAAAAGCTGTTTAGAGCCTTGGAAGGATTGGCAGCTCTGTAGCAGACCTCTTGCTAAGGTTCAAAGACACTTGCTGCCCACCTCATCTCTCTGCAGCTATCATTATGTGGCATGAGGGAACTATGCTGTACATCTATAGCCTTGTTTTGATGCCTTGGTGATTTAAAGAAAAACACTTTATTTGTCTTTCCTTTTGTCTTTCTCTGTCTTTCTTGTAAGGTCCTCCAAGGCTCACCCTGGACCCGTTGTCCATATAAGTGACAACCCCATGGATGAGGGAAAGGTAAACAATAACATATTGCCACCCACACAAGAATAAATTTTTGCAAATTTAGATTTGTCATTCTGAGGAACCTTGGGCAGGTTTCACCCTGAGTCGTCTGCTTACACCGGACTTCCTTTCGTGCTGTGAATGAATGTCAAATGTATTGCTTCTTGTTCCACCCATCATATGGTCTGTTTTGTCTTCTCTCAATCATCTCTCCTACCTATCACATTGACTGCCTGTCACTCTTCCTCTCCAGCTTATAATTGGGTTTGAGTCTGGGATTGTCGTCCTGTGGGATCTGAAATCAAAGAAGGCCGACTATCGCTACACTTACGATGAGGTAGGCAAATCTCCCCTATTTCCTTTCATCTCTAACTAATTTTGGTCATTTTTCTCTCTTCTGATTTAGTATGTTTTCATACAGAAACTGGGAATTAAATCATTTATTCATGAGCTGAAGTGTATACAGTTGTGTATGCGCATTTGAGAGTTTAGGAAAACCTAAAATGTGAGATGGTTTACTACAGCTGACAAGGCTTGTGACACATACTATATATACACACACCTCTCTCAGAGTGAGTGTCTTCTCTCATCTGTGTTTTAAAGATGTTGATGTACTAAAAGAGAGTACTGACTGGGAAGAAATAGATTTTCTACTTCCTGTTGCATGATAGAGTAGAAATGAATCATTTTTACATAGTTGTCAATTTGCCTTTGTATTTTGCTTGTGCTTCAGTCTAACTAAAACAAATGTCTTTCACATGAGTGTTGTCCTTTACAGTTCAAACTAGAACAATGTGTGAAATGCAAATTTTAACAATTGTATAATATATACAGTAGTGTGCCGTATGTTTGTGTCTCTAGAGTGAAGTTGCAAGGTTGCACAGTGATTTTTAAATGGAGGCACTATGAATATTACAACTGTAAAAAGGACAACTTCATTTTGTAAAAGGTCCACGTTTTTAAAGCAGGGGGTCCTGTGACTTTATGGGCTTCACCAGAGGCAATATTGTGTGTCTATAAATAAAACAAGACAAAAACAATAAAATAGAGACAGTTTGTGAGCTGCCCAGATTCCCTTTGGCCCTGCCAATTGTCAAGACTGTGTCTTGATAATTTAGCTAGACTGTGGTAAACAGATGAAATCTGTACTTCTCATAATATTGTGCATTACCTTACATCAGTTAACATCAGTGATATCACTACCCACTCTGTGTATTATCTGTTAACTGACGGTACTCTCCATCTTTTTTTCCACATAGTTGCTTATTTTGATTATGTCTTGATCGCTTATAAATGTGATCAAATGTGTGACAGAATGGGGCTTCTTGGTGGATTTATAATTGGAAATTCAGAAATCTTGTGCTCAAATACAGCAAATGTATGTGTTTTTGTTCTGTCTGAGCCTAAAACCTTAGTGGGAACTGAATACAGCTATGAATATCTCATTCATAAACTTCTCATTGAGATTTAAGCCAACTGAATGGCTGTGGGCAGACTCAAGCACATACACATAGTCAGCATGTAAAATACACAGTGGTGTCCATAGTACTTAGAGCCAAACACCCTCTTTAAGATAATGAGATTATCGTAACGCTTGTGCTGGTGCTCACCTCGTGCACACTGAGATATCAAGACTCGCAGAAGACTGCATACTCACAAAAACAAGAGTGGGTTTTGTATGTTCGGAAGATCTCTCTCTCTCTCTCACTCTCTCTCTCTTTCTCTCTTTCTTTCTCTTTCTCTGCCTCAGCAGGGCATTACAATCTCTAGTATTGAATCTCCTAAGGGAGCTCTTTAAACCCCTACAGTTACACCTCTCCAGAGACTGGGGGTTGAGTGAGTGGGAATTTCACTGAGTGAGAAGTACACTGATGAAGCGAAATGGTCTACAACACACGGCTGTTCTGTTATCTCTTTTAGAATGTCTTGGGGTTATTTCCTTGGCTAATATATTCAAATGGTTTTCAGAGCCAGATATTTTAAGTTTAATTTAGACTCGGACCAACTCTCAAGGGCATTAGATACAACCCCTGTATTCCGCTCTGCTGCGTCAGTAGTGAAATGTGGTTATGATTGCTACATGTATTTTCTGATGGTACTGTTGTGAACAGTGGTGTAGCCAACACTAATTAAATGGACTACAGAGTGAGTGCTGGGGGAAATGAACACACCAGAGCTTTGTAAGGGTAATGGTGGGGGGTACTGACAAAAATAGTATGATCTTGATATCAGTATATTATCCTATTCATTTAAAGGTTCATTAACAAATATTTTTCAGCCACTACAGGGTCTGGTGAGCCTCAAAACAGACTGTTTCCTAGTAACAACGAACGTAATCACCAGTCTGAAGCTACCGTTAGCTGACTAATGAGGCACAGCTCCAGGCATCATTGCAGCAGCACAGTCAGGTGACGAGGTTGACAGTCCTGAATGGGGCTAACAAAGCACTGACATTACACAAAGCTCAAAATGCTCTCAAATTAAAAGCATATCAATGAAACACAAGGGTAAAATTATGACCATGCTAAGTCACTAATATTACCAAAACAAACACATGACCTTGAGATGCTAACACATCCAGAAGAAAGGCCGCCATATCTGAATCAAATCTGAGTCCTTTGGCTGCTTTTAACACTTTTCATCACAAAAAAGCCAAATTGATCTTAGCCCTGGTTTTTGCTCTTTCTTTGTCCCCCTCTCTCCAAAAGATTATGACCTCTTCGGTCTGGCAGCCCATGTTTTGGACTATTAGCAGACGAGATCAAAGCTGTCAAATTAACTGAAATACACCCCTTTTTATGTCCTCAAATAACTTATTAAAAACAAACGTAGCAGAAAAATGACCGCATGTACACAAATCAGCATGATACTATTTACCAAAATGACAGAAATCACCTCTGGGAAAAATTTATGTGATTTGTTCTCTGAGATTTTTTGTTTGGCTCCTGTCCAATCCACTAATATGGAGGAGGTGGGATTTATGGCCTGCCACCAGGAGAATTCACAGTGGCTTCACTTCTAGGAGTGTCATTGTATATACAGTCAGTCCAGACCGACCATCAAAACAGGGTGGAGATACAGCTTTAAAAACAGAAGCGCTGTAGGTAGCAGACTGCCAAAAAGGTGGCTAGTATAGCTGAGAGACACCACATCCTGCCCCATTTTCACTTTTTGTCTTAGACAATGTGTAAAATCTTGGTTAATGCCCTTTAATAAGTAATTTTATATATATTATATGGTGTTTTGTTAGTAGACATTCATTACATAAGATTATAATGATTAACTTTATATGCTGCTCTTGAATTTTTCAAGAGTTTGATGTTGTGTTCCTCCTTGATTTATCCCAAATTATTTTTAAATATAAGCACTACATCTTTTTACAAGTGAAAGGGCTTTTTAGCTGCAATTAACAACATGCAATAATGAATCAGTAATGCATTTCCGGCTCCTGTTTATTAGTGGACTCTTCTCAGGTGATGCTTATACTGTATGTTTGGTTTGTCAGACACTGTTTGACAAATTAATTTTACCTAATACTGGACCAAACATAGTAAGTTTAACAAGGTGAGTACAACTGACAATGTGCCGGATATCTCACAGGTTTGGTTTTTTGCACTCAACATTAAGACTTAATAGTGTGCAAGAACTTCTATTTTTGCTCCGTATACAATATATAGTGAGATATGTGATGGATACTTGAAAGAGCTACTGTGCCTGCTGGGCTCTAGTGTCTTTATTAGGATTGATGATGGAGACAGTGAAGCCTGAACTACATGAATGTCCAACATCAAGATGGTTGCTATGGAAACGTGGGTCTAATTGGACATGCAGATATGTCTATTTTGCTTTACTTACCTCTACTGCCATTAAAAATAGACGTGTCATTATTTATAAGCAAATTGTATTGCATGGATTAGCTGGTGCAGCCCAAATTGTTTGCCATCATTCAGTGATATCATAAATGGGTGCAAACTCCATCTCTCCAAACAATACTGTAGTGTAAAATACCTTCTTACAACTATCCACTCTATTGCAAGCTCTGTTTTTCATGCTGTGTGCTTTCATTCAAACTCCATTTGCCTGGAAGCTTTCTGCCAAGAATCAAAGTTGTCAACTGAAATGAACATGTAAGCTTTTCCTCTTCTTTTCAACAGCAGTGTAGCTCAGCAGACCGTGTAGTGATGGGTTCAGACTTTGGAATAAGTATGTCTTAAAGCATATTTTGGTTTTGATGGAAATTTGTGGATGTTTAAAAAAGCAAAAGACAGACTGTGGTCTTGGTTTTCAAAGGATGGAGATAAATGGTCTTTGTGAGTAATGCTGGCTTCTGTTTCCTGGCACATTTTTACTGATTCTTGCAAACATTCTCACACAACATAAGCAAGTAGGGAACACATAAAGAGTGTAAAGAAGTTGTTTTGACAAATGTGTCAGAATTAAGGCAGCTTTTGTTTGTTACAGACCATGTCAAACTGCAGAAGTGTCAGCCTATGATGGAACTTAACCTGGCTCCCAGACAACAGCAAATATTCCAGCAGTTCAGACACAGCAGCTGCAACAAAACCTTTGCTTTTGCAAACTCTCAATGAGCATCACTTCCACTCTGTGTCTTTCGGTGGATTGTCTGTTATTAGCTGTGGATCAGCTATATGGGTTTCTAGTGAGTGCTAGCCAGAGAACATCCGTCACCTAGACCCTGCTCTACTCTGCTCTGATGAATGGCTGATACTGGTATCACAGCCAGATTGCAATGTCTACTTCCCTCCTTCCCCTCCATGTCTCCTGTTGCTCATTCAATTAATGCATGGAAGATTTTTTTGTGTGTATAGGTCATTCCTTCAAAGGCCCATTATCCAAATTCAGTAATTTATTCTACTTTCCATCGATCATCTTCCATCATTTTGTATTTTCTACAGTTTATTTTTATTAGAGAGCAAGTGTGTCCCTACACACACTGTAGACAAACAAACACATACAAAGCAAAGATGAAAACAAACACAAGAACTGGAAAAAAAGTTGTTTTTTCTATTTGCCTTCCTTTTCTTCTATCTTGTTGTCTTTTAATCTCTTTTTCTCTGTGTCATGTCATGGTTATAGGAACCAGCAATTTGTGCCCAAAAGCCCAGTGACTCAGTTGCAGACACTTTTGGTTACCTCTGGGGTGTTTGTGCACACATATAAGACTGCACAAATGCAATCTGCCACATGGTGTGTCAAAACCTGTACCAAAACACAAAAACTGTGGGTTAAAGTGTTTGCCCAGGAGCAAGCCACAGATCTCAAAGTTGTTTTGAGTGATCAAGCTAAATGCTGACACTAGCATGCTAACACTCATCTTTTTTTTAATATAGTAAAAAAAATCTTAACTGGTAAATTGAATCTCATTGTTCCTTTCAGCACTGATGTACAAAAAGAGAATCAAAATGGATTTTACATTCAACAACAAGAAAAGGATTCCTCTCTGGAAATACATTTTGACATATTTGTCCCAAATGACCCACGTGTGTGTGTGTGTGTGTGCGCGGGTGGTACCTCAGGGCTAAGCAGTCTTTGTGTCCTAGTGTGATACAGTGCTGGCATAGGGGATTTCAATTAGGGTTTTGATATTCACGGTTGTGTATGTCTGTTTTTCAGTTCTTGTTTGTTTTCTTCTTTGCTTTGTATGTGTTTGTTTGTCTACAGTATGTGTAGGGACACACTTGCTCTCTAATAAGTGTTGAATTCATTTGTTTATCCCCCAAAGACCTATCCGTGAAAACTGACCTACTGTAATAAATCATGAAATTAGTCTTTTTAATTGGTATTGTTGAATATGATGAGTGCCATGTGTTTCAATTATTTCATGTATTTGGCAATTTAGCACAGTGTACTGTTCCCTATAGGGACTGTCACAGCGCACTGATAGATCTCTAGACCTCGGTCTTCCCATGTCAAGGCGTCTCTAGGCTGCAGTCAATGAAAAGAAAGACATTATGGGCCTTTGTGTACTGGTTTCCAAAGTCATTCATATTTAACCTTTAGTATACAGTAATTTCTATCATTTATATATAAATAACTTAGGAAAGAGACCAATGTACACTGGTACTCTGATCCATATCCAGAAGAATACACTCATAAATACAGCTTACACAGTCTGGGATAATTCGCTTCAGTTCCAGAATGTTGGGTGCTAAAGATTTTACAGAATCAGACATTTATTCACACTGCATTCAGGACACCTGTGGGAAATGCATCCAAGCCAGCTGGAACTGCACGCCGGTATATCACTTCTGGCAACAAATAATTGACAAACTACCTCTTCTTCTGGGCTGCCTCATCCCACCACCCCTTTCACTTTGCCTACAGGGTTATGCATGTGGCAGTGCCTTAAATAAGACATTTAGGCCATTACTAACCAAAGAACACTTGAAAAAAGGATTATAGGTCATAGAACTCTAGTCATGTTTACTTGGGTGTTTTTGAGGGCGTGAGAGGGAATGGGTCATTAACTGTGTAATGAGATAATTTGAGTCTGTGTGTTTGTGCAGCATGATGTCACATAACCATAACTCTGTGTCATCGAGCTCACAGTGAACTGGAGGAAATCCCATTGAGAAAACCACGATAATGAGACTTGAAATTTCTTAGGATTGTGCATTCAAAAACATGTACAGTACTTGAGGAACCTCTTACAGGGTTTAAACAAGCAGCTTTTCCACAGTGTCACCTTATTGGTTTCAACTTTATGAATTTAGGATTTGGCCAGAACATATAAACATGATACAGTTTGCTAAGGGAAATCAAATTAGCGATGTTGTGGTAAGTGAATAGCTGGAGCTGCATGAGTATAAGCTGACACTGGTTCCCCATGCGGTCCAATTTAGCCATTTTCTAAAAACTCTACATTCACTGAGCTTGACATGCAGCACCATTTAAGATTGATGACACATTGAAGGCCAAATTGATATACACCTAAATAAACAGCAGCTGTGATTGAAAGAGATCGACTTGACTGTGCGCTCACATCAACATTCACAGTGAGGTAGCTATTCATTTCAGATGAGCAGTGGGAGACAAGGAGCCGGATTTGGGAGACAAGGGGACAAGGAAAACCGGTTCCACATTCACACATGGCCAACTGTTTAGGAAGAGAGACTTTTCAAAAAAGGCTCAAATACTGGCAATCACATAGGAGAATAAAACACTAGTCTTGTGATGGGACATATTACTGATGCTACAGGTGTTCTGGTAAAAACATGCCCCCCGGATGAAAATACATGTGACAAGCCTTGGAAGCTGTTATGAGCTTCACACGGATTCAGTGCACAGCATCATATTTTCCTAATGTCAAAATGTTTGCTGGGTTTAATTATGAGCTATGAAAAGGGCATCAATAAGCGAGGTTGCCCTTTACTGGCATACCTTGGTCATGATGTGTTTGGGTTTTTAATGATCGCTTGTCAGTAGATAAGTCATCGTGATCCAGGCTTGAAACAGCAACAGGACTCTTCAGACAATGGTGGAGATCATGGCTCCGGATAATATTGGATTAAATTGAATGCAGTAGTTCAGCTGTGTTGTAATAATACTGAATGCAATACAACATTTTTCCTTGAGCGAATAAGTGTCTTTATGAAATAGAATTCTTAAATGGATTAGATAACCGTGCTAATAAAACCTGCCTCTTGGCATCCCAGAATAAATTGACCAATCCATTTCCATCTTTCTCCACGTTTAGAAAATTCAGCAGGTAATATAAAAGCTTCTTCTATCATTTTTTGCCACAGGAAATGCTCTGAACTCAGGGACCAGAGTCTTTTTATCCCACTTTAAGCATCTGTTCAAGAGTATACTGTATAATCTAAATGAGTCACAGGAAGTTAACCAACATATGAACGTTATGCACCGTATGGCTGTGGCAATGCGAAAAACCTGTGGCGTAAGAGAGACGGTGGCACATGATGTTTCATCCTTCTGAGCAACTGATGCCCTTCTCCAATCCCCCCACCCTATGCTTCCTGCTTGTTGTTTCCTAGGCAATCCACTCAGTTGCCTGGCATCACGAAGGCAAGCAGTTCATTTGCAGTCACTCAGATGGAACTCTGACCATATGGAACATCAGAGGCCAGGGAAAGCCCATACAGACAATCACCCCACACGGTAAGGAGGTGAAAACACACAAACACACACTCACACACGGAGGCTGTGTTTGAAATCACTCCCTTGTTCAGAATTCAGAAAGTTAGTGGAGGATAATTAAAATGCACTAGTAAACAGGGAGTGATTCTGGACACAGCCAGGTGTATGATGGTCTCCCATTTCTGTAACCCAGACCACTGAGGAGACATTACGTAACATGAGAATCGAATCTTAACTGACACAGTGCCCTAATCTCAGTTTAACAATTAACTGTAGTTATGCTTAGGTAATTAATTAATAAAGTAAATAATAAGTAAGAATCCTATACTTGATCTTTTTCCTAACAACAATACTTGGAAAACACATATTAGTACATTTGGACGGCAAAACCTTATTCTGAGGTAAACTGGTTGTTTATGGAAACTGAAGAGACTCCTCAGAATCGGTGGTTATCAGCCTGGCATTCAGGACTTGGTGAGGTGTCATTATAGAAATAGATGCAGCTATTTTCTGAGGTTATTAAAACAAGGCATTCATTCCGCCTGTACTTTGCTATCTTAAAGGTACAGTACAAATTTTCTGCCAGTCACATGGCCAACTTTATATCCATCATAGCCATCCCTCAAAAGCTACCACAGTGGCTTCCTCACTGTTTCCTCATTTCAGTCTTTGGATTATTGTCAGTTCAATTATGTTCTGCCTGTGTTTGCTTTACTTTGTGTCCTCGCCTGTACACATTGGCGCTGGTTTATTTCCTGCAGCAAGTCTGTTCTTTTGAAGATGTATTTTAATCCACAGTCTTCGGTCCCACCACACTACTCATCCCACAACGAAGGACCTAGAAGAAATAGTGTGTGTGTGTGAGAGTGACAAATGGACACAGAGAATAAGCGAGTCAGAAAGAGGGGAAAGTTAAATGAATGGAAAAACTTCTAACCAGTTTATCAAGCTGGTTTTGTGTGTAGGGGGTTGCAGAAAAGATTTCAACACAGGCTTTTTAATTAGTTGTTTCTCCCACTGCTTCATACATAATTAGTTTAGTATTTAAAGGGCACATATGCATATTCCTTTGACAGGTTTAAGTAAGGCATATAAGACATCCATTAATTGTCTTTTCAGATATCTTTTACTTAGATGTACTTATAAAATAGTTCCTCATTGTACAGACCTACTGTGGATAACTTGCCTTAGGGCTCAGTTTGGCTCTTCAGTATTAGTTCTGATATATTCAGCCGCTTTTGTGCATTCTGACAGAAAAATATGCAGACTTATACTTATTTGTCTTTCTACTCTCTGATAAATAAGCTTTTTTTTATTGTCTGGCTAGAGTTCAGAGCTGATTTTAAATGCAGCTTCTGTGGGAAGAATGAAATAACAGTAGGAACAAGAAGACAGGGGGTGAAGCGGGAGCAAGCTGGCAAACTAAAGTAATTTATGTTTGCTCTATTGTAGGAAAACAGCTGAAGGATGGGAAGAAGCCAGAGCCTTGTAAACCCATTCTCAAAGTGGAGTACAAAACCACTAGAAATGGGTAAGATCCTTCTTGCTCTCTTTGTCTCCAACACACACTGACATACACTTACAGTACACAAATGTTCACATGCTTTGGCACAAAGATGCTTAATTATACACATTTGTGGCAAAAGAAACAAAAAGGGTATTTACAGGGGTTAAAAACTGTTGTGAAATCAATGTGAGCTGCAAATATGCATGTGTCTTAGACAAGGAGCTACCCACAAGTCATCAATCCTACAGAACCAACAATTTCAGAGAGTTTTTTTGTTTTTTACCCATTAGGCTGTTATTTGTAAGTGATAACACACTCTGAGGTGTTTTTCCAAAAGGAAGAAAACTCCGTTCCTCTCTGCATCCTTCTTCAGCTCCAACTCATTTGTTGTTTTTGTTTGTCAGGACACCTCAGAGTGTATCTGTTCTATACCATGGTGCAGTACAAACTGCAGTCATAATAGAAATAAATCCATAAGAATCATGATTTGTTTTTAACTGTGAAAGCCAGTCAAATGCTTATGCTTGTGATTGTGTGTGTTCCAGGGACCCCTTCATAATCCTGTCTGGTGGTTTGTCCTATGACACTGTGGGCCGGCGGCCTTGTCTGACAGTAATGTATGGGAAAAGTACCGCTGTGCTGGAGATGGACTACCCTATAGTAGATTTCCTCACACTCTGTGAGACTCCATACCCTAATGGTAAGCGTGTCTTTGGTGTGCACACGTCTGAGTCTTATACTGGGCTCACACAAACACACACACCTTTCTGTTTTTTAATTATGTTGGATGGCTTGCCCCTGTGTTAGGGTGCTTCTGTAATAAATTTCCCAAGGGGAAGGATCCTATTTCAGTTTCATTATCCGATACACCTAATATTACATTTGTGTTTCATCTCTTTGTACATAACAGCCTTTGATCTAGACTAAATTATCTTATTTCCTGCATTGAGGAGTCAACAGCTAAAACAAGTCAGCATGGAGGTGAAAGTTATGGGGTCCTGCATGTAAGCAGTCCAATATATAAACTATGGTGCAGCGTTATCGGGTATACATATACAGCTTCATTAAGGATTACTGAGTTATGTAACAATTGTGACTTCATTATGTCACTGCCACCACCCACTGATTTCATGTTGTAATGCACATTAATGGGTCTTTGCATTACACAATACGTGTCTGGCTGTTTGTCTGTGCACATATTCAATCAGTGTTTAGGGGGTTGATAATCCGTGATGATGCGCCTGCTAATAAAGCAATGTGTCTAAATGCAGTGTGCACACCGCTGTGTTGGAATGTGAAAACAAATACAGTCACACAAAACAATGCATCTGTTTAAAACACATACAAATACAGGCAGAAAAACTAGTAGAGACGTGCAGTATTCAGACAAAGGAGAGGTACAACTCACAAACAAAATTGTAAACTGTATATTTAAAGCTTAAAATGCTATTACCAATACTTTTATAATAACGATGGATTACATAGCTACTTTTAGATAAAAGAGGTTGCTTGTAGTGGCAAACCTACAGGAGATTATACAGTACCTCAGCGCCATGACGCTTTATGGCTGCTTTCACATCACAGCTCAGCTCCCATCTTTTTTGCATTTATGCTTTACATTCATGTTTTTCAGTGTCGTGTCCTGCTCCGGTTTGAGCATATTGAAACTGCCACATGTGCAAATTTAACTGAAATGTGAGCCACATGTGTACAAGAATAACAACAATAACAGTCAAATCTTGCAGTTCCCTCAAAACAACTGCTTGGTTACAGTGTATTATGGTCCCTCCTGTTTGGCCCGAACAGATGCTTTTCAATAAATGTCCAATAAATTTGAAATGTCCTCCTCTTTTCACTGACCCCCATCACTCTTGTAACTTTCCTCCGTGTTTATTTTTACAGGTCAGGGAGGTGCTGACAGTGAATGATGACCGCATCCAAGTGGCCAAACATTTTGTTATTACAGAATTGAACTTAAATAATGTTACTTTTTTTGTCATTAACATCCTTTTATACCTTTTTTTTTCTCTATCATTGACACAGAAATGTTTTTGCTGATCTGTCATTGTTTGTATCTGTAGGCAAATCAGTGCTGAAAGTGGCCATAATTACAGTTGCTATTCCCAGCTCCCAAATGCCAAAACTGACAGACATGGATTCAGGGATTCACAACAGAATCAAAGTGAGAGTAAAAAGGGATGGGTCGTGTTGTGTGTAATGAAAAGTTCAGTATTTCGACCTGTATGTACTCTGACACTGTGAGACCTGCTGCTCTGAACTACAGATTGTTCTCTAAACACCAGTTCACATCCACATGTGCGCCAGTATATATCTTAAAGGCAGGGTGTGTCATGCTATTTTCAAATTAAGTATCCATAAGCATAGTAGAAGCATGGCTAACGCCTATACATAATGCTGAAGCCTGTGTTTCATTACTGCAATGGACAAAGCTTGAGGGCAGAAGGTGATTTGAGGTCAGAAAGGCACTCTTGTACTGTACATCTTTCCATTCCCATAAATTGTGGCCATGCGCCCTTTTGCAAAGCATTTAACTCCAGCTCTGGTTAAGTGGCTGCCAGTAGAAAAGTGGTCTCGGCAATTTGCTGCTGAGAATGTAATCCAGTGTAAATCCATGAATGTGAAAGCAGTCTTTGCATAAAGTCACTAAATATGTGCTGATGTTATTTATATTCTTTGTATTCTCCGTAGTGCTGTTTCATCTGAACTCACAGAGGTGCATAGCAGCCTTATTAGTGTTTACCTCCAAGATAACTATACATGGAGATTTATCACTTTTACAGTGCAGGAAGACTGAGTGCATGCATGTACAGTATAGGTTATGTATTCATTTACAACAGTTTAAAATTTCAAAGTTGACATATACCATGACCTGGATGATTGATGATCTCCACAGACAGATACCACAGTTATAAATCACATGGATAAATACATTTTAAGCGTTAAGTCTTCCTGCCCTCACACCTTTAGGGCAGAGGCATGATAATAGCATTTACCATATAACATCTGAGGAATCCTTCTCCTGTGGTTTGTAGATTTAAGGGAGGTTCTCTCACAGGACTTCTAAGGGTGGTGTGATGAATGACTTGTCTTTGTGTGTTTCACTGTGCAGATTTTCAGGAACCTTACGCTGTGGTGGTCCTTCTAGAAAAGGACTTGGTGGTGATCGACCTTGCACAAAATGGGTGAGTCTGACTCTTTACAAAATAATTTGTGATCATCTTGACTTCTTTTGTTTCTTAAATATGGGCTAAAATATCATACTATAGTTAACCTATTAGCGATTATCTGTATTATATATTGCCTCTATTTTAAATCTTGATCATAAATCGTACTCTTTGGTTCCCATGTGCTACTCGATGTGATTAATGCACTGACACTGGGCAGGCAGACTAATTTAATTAATAGCGACTCTGTCTGTGCTCTCTTGTTAACAGTTACCCCGTATTCGAGAACCCCTATCCTCTGACTATTCATGAGTCTCCTGTGACCTGCTGCGAGTACTTTGCCGACTGCCCTGTGGACCTCATACCTGCACTTTACTCTGTTGGCTCACGGCAGAAACGACAGGGCTACAGCAAAAAGGTAGTGAAACCTCTACTGTGTGCTGTAACGCTGCATCCTGTTGGATTACTGCTGAGAAAACCTACAGAGAAAATTAGTTTCTTGTTTTAAAAAATGTAATTTAGGTATTAATTACAGGGAAAAATCAAATTTCCTTGAAAAAACTCATGACATTCCCAGAGGCCTCAGCTGTAGTTTCTATTTCTATTTAGTGCTACAGTAATTAGCTAAAGTATCTTTGCGCTGTGGCTGTAGACTGTAAGTTCCTAAAATAAATGACATGATTGTGAAATAACTTTTTGGACACACCTTCCATCACAGATTAATGATATATAACTACACTTTCCTGAGGCTGGAACTTTTCTTCATGTTGCTCTGGATCATAGTGTTATAAAAGAGCTGAATGCCTAAATTAGAAATAGAAATGTCCCACACGTCACCTCTAACCCTTCTGCCATACACCGGGTTACAGGATAAAGGACATATTAATACATCACTGCATACTATTTGGTAAACACTGCATGGGTTAATTTGCATTAGAGGTTATAACAGCTCAATGTTATGAAGCTGAATTGTATAATAGTGTCATATTACGTACCCATCAATGGTCCTCGCCATCTGTACACTCCCCTCTTTATTCACTTTTCATCCCCTTTATCATCTAAGACAGACCCCCTGCTCTTTCAGCCATTATGTATGCCTATGGTCTTTTCCCTGGTGCCGTGTTCTAGCTTTCTGTCGGAAATGTCATCATGTACTGATCCAAACTGGCTGCATAGCTGCTACTTTTTTTTTTTTTTTTCAGTTAAGCAAAGCCCTGGCTGAGCGGCAGGAGGGCATTCTCACATAAAGATCACCATGAGTCATCCTGGTGACCTTTGTATGTGTCAGCGTGTTCAAAGCAAAGCCCCCCGCCAACACACACACTCAGACGGAGACGCACATTCATTTAGGGGCATAATGTTTAACAGCAAGACACACTGACAGATATACACAAAGGAGTCCTGCCTCTTTTCTCATGCACACTCATATGTGCAGTGTTTTCATGTCACCTATTTCTAAAATCAGCATTTCTCTTGAACACAGTTTGTTGACACTGCTGTACTACTTCCTGCATACTCTCATTCTCTCTAATGCAATGTGTGTCTGCTGTCTATAAAGGAATGGCCAATTAGTGGTGGAAACTGGGGTCAAGGTACACAAAGCTACTCAGAGATCATCATTACTGGGTAAGACAATACTGATTTCATTAGCATTAGCATTATCGTCCTGCTGCAAGTTAATTACTTTCACCTCTCCTGCGCTGTCCAGTCAACACAGTAGAGACACTTCTTTTAAAATATTTACAGTAGGTTTTCGGATATTCTATTCATAACTAGTCTGTCTGGGCTTCTTTCTCTCTCTCTAATCATGCCACAGCCTGCAAACCATTTCTCTCCCAGTCCACTCAGCTGAATTGGCAACAAAAACAATGAGGAGTGAGGAAAAATGACAACCAAAATACATGGTAATGTCATGCTTATCTGCTGAGCACTTATCAGAATGTGGATGACACTCTATTACGTGGAGAGAGAAGATTACAGTCATGACACTAATGGGTTACCATGACAGCTTCACTCTTTTGGGAAGGCTTTTGGAACCTGGCTGCAGGGGCCAGAGCCACGAAGCTCCAAAGCAAAAGTACAAAAAAGTACAAACCCGATTCCAAAAAAGTTGGGACACTGTACAAAATGTGAATAAAAACAGAATGCAATGATGTGGAAGTTTCAAATTTCAATATTTTATTCAGAATACAACATAGATGACACATCAAATGTTGAAAATGAGACATTTTGAAATGTCATGCCAAATATTGGCTCATCTTGGATTTCATGGGAGCTACACATTCCAAAAACGTTGGGACAGGTAGCAATAAGAGGCTGGAAAAGTTAAATGTACATATAAGGAACAGCTGGAGGACCAATTTGCATCTTATCAGGTCAATTGGCAACATGATTGGGTATAAAAAGAGCCTCTCAGAGTGGCAGTGTCTCTCAGAAAGTCAAGATGGGCAGAGAATCACCAATTCTCCCAATGCTGCGGTGAAAAATAGTGGAGCAATATCAGAAAGGAGTTTCTCAGAGAAGAATTGCAAAGAGTGTGAAGTTATCATCATCTACAGTGCATAATACCATCCAAAGATTCAGAGAATCTGGAACAATCTCCGTGTGTAAGGGTCAAGGCCAGAAAACCTAACTGGATGCCCATGATCTTCGGGCCCTTTCTGTGATCTTCTGGCACTTAGACGGCACTGCATCACATACAGGAATGCTACTGTAATGGAAATCACAACATGGGCTCAGGAATACTTCCAGAAAACATTGTCGGTGAACACAATCCGCCGTGCCATTCACCGTTGCCGGCTAAAACTCTATAGGTCGAAAAAGAAGCCACATCTAAACATAATCCAGAGGCGCAGGCGTTTTCTCTGTGCCAAGGCTCATTTAAAATGGACTGTGGCAAAGTGGAAAACTGTTCTGTGGTCAGACGAATTGAGATTTGAAGTTCTTTTTGGAAAACTGGGACGCCATGTCATCCGGACTAAAGAGGACAAGGACAACCCAAGTTGTTATCAGCGCTCGGTTCAGAAGCCTGCATCTCTGATGGTATGGGGTTGCATGAGTGCGTGTGGCATGGGCAGCTTACACATCTGGAAAGGCACCATCAATGCTGAAAGGTATGTCCAAGTTCTAGAACAACATATGCTCCCATCCAGACGTCGTCTCTTTCAGGGAAGACCTTGCATCTTCCAACAGGACAATGCCAGACCACATACTACATCAATTACAACATCATGGCTGTGTAGAAGAAGGATCCGGGTACTGAAATGGCCAGCCTGCAGTCCAGATCTGTCACCCATAGAAAACATTTGGCGCATTATAAAGAGGAAGATGCGACAAAGAAGACCTAAGACAGTTGAGCAACTGGAAGCCTGTATTAGACAAGAATGGGACAACATTCCTATTCCTAAACTTGAGCAACTTGTCTCCTCAGTCCCCAGACGTTTGCAGACTGTGATAAAAAGAAGAGGGGATTCCACACAGTGGTGAACATGGCCTTGTCCCAACTTTTTTGAGATGTGTTGATGCCATGAAATTTAAAATCACCTTATTTTTCCCTTAAAATGATGCATTTTCTCAGTTTGAACATTTGATGTGTCATCTATGTTGTATTCTGAATAAAATATTGAAATTTGAAACCTCCACATCATTGCATTCTGTTTTTATTCACATCTTGTACAGTGTCCCAACTTTTTTGGAATCGGGTTTGTATGTGAAAGCTACTGTATAACATTTTGGCAATATGCTATACCCACTGGTTATCTCCTGATTAATAACCTCAGCTGAAGTAATGGAAACCCTTAGTTAAAACCGAAGGGAGAGATCTATGATTTGGTTAAAATATTAATTAGGGAGCAACATAAAAAGTTTTAGCTGAATAATTTATTTTGGTTTACTACTTACGTAGACATCAGATTCAGCTGTGAATGCCTTGCAGCATTCCTATCCAACACTTCTCAGTTTTTGTAACTGAGTTGTGTATGTTTTAAAGCTGCGAATCTTACTAATTGGATTTTTTGAACTTCTATCTCTGAAATTGTAAACTAATAGGTCACAAATTGAAATATGTCTGTCACATTTTTGTCTCCTCTTTTGAATTGCTAGGCATGCTGATGGAACTGTGAAGTTCTGGGATGCCTCTGCAAGTGAGTTACCTTAGCAGCTAAGCTTTGTTTATACCACACAATTTGTGTAGTTTTTTTTTTTCAACAAGCAATAGACAACAAAGGGCATTGTGAGCTCAGATTAAAATGATGGGAGAGGCTACGAGCTGTTAGGAGCAGCAGGTCACATGATTCATGTAGCTTCCAAAAGTCCAAATGGCTAATTGAGGTCAGTTTTTTTGTAAGGAACAGCAGGATTTATCAGAAAACTACAACTTTTATTGACTTGTACAGCCTTGCAATCCAATTGTGTTCTGTTGTTGTAGAGTGCTCAGCAAATTTAGCTAGTTAGTTAGGTACCTAATTATTAAAGTGACCCAGTATGTGAGAGAGATGGTCAAAAAGGTTGTAAAACGTGTTTTGATACATGTTACAAACTCAAAATGTCACAAGTAGAATTATTGCTATTGATTTCAGCTTCTTGCTTTAGAAGATAGCAACCAAGTCAGTGTAACTCTGTGGCGCTGCTGCTAATGTTTGGAACTATTCAATGTTCCCATGATGAACAACAAAAAACAGTTCTTATAGAGTCAGTGGAGATGTCCTCATTCTGTTTTGAGTCTCACTAGACTATCTAGAGGCTGAAAAGAAATTATGTAGAGTAGCTTTAAATTAAAATGACAATGATTTTTTTTTCCAAATAAATGTAAGCTGTCAATATTCAACAGCAAAATAAGTACTGTTAAGATAAAGTCTTGTAGTAATAGTTATATATTTCATGTTCAAGGAACCACATACTGTAGCCTCGATTTTATTCCTGATGACCCTTAACTGCACATGATACTTTCTGTACTCTTTTTTTTTTTTCCAGTAATGCTCCAGGTGCTCTATAAGCTTAAAACAGCCAAGGTGTTTGACAGAAACCGGTCCAAGGAAGATAAGGGCAGCGCTGAGGTGTTAGATGAAGACCCCTTTGCCATTCAGATCATGACCTGGTGCCCAGAGAGTCGTATGCTGTGTGTGGCCGGGGTGTCAGCCAATGTAATCATCTACCGCTTCAGCAAGCTGGAAGTAATTACTGAGGTGGTGCAGGTACGGTAACGTCAACAGTCAACCCCCCCCCCCATCTGTTGTCCCTCCAATTTTTCTTTTAAGACTTAACATAAATAGGCGGCATAGTGGTGCTCTGGTTAGTGCTGTTGTCTCACAGTAAAAAGGTTCCGGGCTCGAGTCCCAGTCGACCAGGGGCCTTTCTGTGCGGAGTTTGCATGTTCTCCCTCTGCCTGCGTGGGTTCTTTCCGGCTTCCTCCCACAGTCCAAAGACATTCACCTTAGGTTGACTGGCGACTCTAAATTGCTTAATAGGAGTGACTGTGAGAGTCCCCTGTCCAGGACGTGCCCCCCCCCCCCTTGCCCAATGTCAACTGGGACTGGCTCCAGCCCCGCTGTGCGATCTTATTCAGGAATGAGAGGTGGAGATAATGGATGGAGAGTATGAGACATAGAATATATGTTCCTTTTGTTTCTTATTATTTGCCCTCAGCACTCACTTCTGTTACTGTTTTAAGTTGTTGTGATACATATGTGCACACATGCAGTCAGTTATCTGACTGGTTAAATGCAGTATGGTTGCCATGCCGACAGACAGAGCAGCGAACAAGCAAAGCTACTGTAGACAGTCATTATAATCTGCCTTGATGGCAGCATAAGTGCTTATGTGATGGGGTGTGATGGGAGTCAGCGTTTAATGATGTACTGTAAAGAGAAATGCTGTTTAGTCTATCTGTACAAGCTCACAGTTCCTACTGTAGATCATACTTCCTGCCTTGAGTATGTGCCTAGTTTCTTTTGTTGGTCACTGGAGCGGTGGAGTATTAAACTGGTAAACAGCAGGGTACTGTATTCATTTATTTATGATGTTTGGTATATTTCTTGCTTGGTACTCATTGCTGTGTCACTGCAGACTTCACAGGGATCACTTGTCAATCAAAATACTGTTCGTGGGCTGTACTGTCATGTGTTTTTTTTTCTTGCAGGTCTGTTAATGAATTTTAATTTGTTTAGCTGGTGCCCTTCATGGGCTCAGCGCTGTTTGTCTTAAATATCCAGATCGTTTGTTCTTCCAGACAAACTGAGCTTATAGCAAAAGGTTCTGTCTTGCTTAAGAAAACCTGAGTTGCAATTATTGACAGAAATCAGCTACTTTCCTGCTAGAAGCTTATCAGTCTGTGGTTACTGCCAGTGCTGATGCCTGACTGTGGATCAGTAGCAGATATGCAGTGGCAGTGAGATGTAATTAGGAAAGCCTCCCTTCGCACAAGGTCAAACACCTCTCTATAACCTTGCAGAAAGGAAGGTAGAGGAGGGCAAAGACAGACAGGAGAGAGAATCTTAAGAAGGATACTGATCACTCTTCACTCCCACATGTCAGTGGGGCTAATGAGACTGACAGAATGCAAAGGAGAGGAGCTTATGAGCATTGTGTGTATCTGTGAGTTTAGGTGGTGTGTGTGTGTGTGTGTGTGCGCGTCTATGCAAAGACGGAGGGAAGGAAGACTTAAAAGGAATGGAATATTTCAGTGTTGAAGGACCTCTCTGACTATAAGTCTGCCTACACATACACACACACACGCCTCAAACTCATCTCATCAAAGTGATTGTCTGAACATATACAGATGTCATTCACAGTCATATGACTTTTTTTCATCCAGAGACTGATTGTCGTTTAAGAGTTTCTGCCTTTTAACCTTTTTTAAAAATATGCTATCTTCTGTTCAGTGAATGTTTTTGTGTGCACCTGCACACGTGTTGTCTCATACAGTTACTAGAGGTGCGAATGCAGTATGAGCTGAACGACATAGAGTCTCCAGATGGTGTGGGCGGAGCAGGGGAACAGACATCGGCGCTTCCAACCCCCGGTGCCTCCCCTCAGACAAGCGGCCCACCTTCACACCCCTCCACCAGCAGCAACAACTCTGATGGCGGCACCGTGCCGTGCCTCAAGTATGAAACACACACGCTGTACTGTACAAAGGCACTTAAATAAACTCTCTTAAGCACCAGAAGCGCTTGCACACACTCATATACACAGGAGTCTTGGCTTTTGCCTCAAGCACACTTGCACAGACTCACTCAGTGCCTGAAGCCTTCTCAGCCATAGCTTCCTCATCATCCCCTTGCAGCCACTCATGCCAGACCCTCAAAACATAACTGCTTCAGAACTGCAGCTGCACCATCTGTCATTTGCTTTATACAATTTTTTTTTTTATCTCTCTCCCTTTCATAATTTCTTCTTTATGCTTCTCTTGCTGTCTCGATTCCCCTCCATTTCATTCTGTCCTCTTCTCTCCAGAGTGCGCAGTACTTCTCTGAAGCAGTCTCCAGGTTACCAGGTAGATTTGGTGGTCCAGTTAGTGTGGGTGAGTGGAGAGCCTCCTCAGCAGATCACAAGTCTGGCGCTCAACTCCTCCTACGGCTTGTAAGCACACACACACGGTCACATTGTAGACAAGGCAAGAACCAAACCAAAATCTTTACTCCCAGTATTTATACTGTGTAAACAGCCTTATCAAGCTGTTTTATCTGAAGTTACAACATAAAATGATATAGACAAGATATGCAAAACAGGCATGCATGTAGTTTTGTATTTGAAGCCCCATG